ACACACAGCAAACGTGGCTTAAAATGCCATGTTTTCCATAACTTCCCTTTTCCCACTGTTGGAATTACAATTATCCTACTTTCTGATCTCTACCTTTGTGTACTGGGTGAATATGCTTACAACTTATCATTTGCTTCGGGGCAGGATGGGCTAAGGAGTCACAGAAAGACATACCTAGACCTGACCTGGATGAATGGCCATAACCTACGTAACCAGGGCCCAGGGCTGTGACAGCACGTGGACAGACTCCTGGGAGAGGCACATACCCATCTGCAGTTGTACATGGAATGCTACATTATGAGAAGGAAAACGCTAGAAGTGGAGATGTGCATGTAGTGTGTGTATGTATATACTTTTGCACACATCTGTGTGCTGGGTAGCAAAACAGTGGTCTGCCAACAACCTGTTATTTGTCCTTCCCATGATCGCTCTCTTCTGTTCTTGACAGTATGACTTTCTTTTGGGGAAACACTCCCTCCTCTGTTTTGATGAGGTAGGTCTCATGGGTGTGGCCTATCACATACACAAGGATGGGCAGTAATCCAATCCAGGCCAGTAAGAGCTCTTCCTTGGAGTTTTCTAATCGAAGGTCGGAAAAGCATAACGTCTTGCACCTGAAGCCATCGGCTGTGCTGAGAAGTAGGTGTTCCACAGCGGCAGGGAATGAAGATGGCATTCTGTGAGTGACCAGGAGATGGAGAAGCCACAGATGGATGTCCCAGCAGCTTTTAAGTTGCTTTTGTGATCCATGGACACTTCTGCCCTTTGCTTTCTGCCTTTGTCTTTGTGGATTTGTCCCTTTTCCTTTTTGTTTTTTAAACTACAGTAAGAACACATACCATAAGTTCTACTTGGCACTAACTCTGAGCACAATGCTATAGAGCAGTTCATTTAAAACCTTTTCAGCTTGATTAATTGGGTTTGTGCTTTTACAAGTTAAACTTTAAGGGGGCGCCTGGGTGGCTTAGTCGGTTAAGCGTCCAACTTTCGCTTAGGTCATGATCTTGCGGTTCGTGGGTTCGGGCCCCGCATCGGGCTTTGTGCTGACTGCCAGCTCAGAGCCTGGAGCCTGTTTCAGACTGTGACTCCCTCTCTCTCTGACCCTCCCCTGCTCACGTTGTCTCTCTCTCTCTCCTAGAAATAAATAAAACATTAAAAAAAAATTTTAATACCTGAAATTAAAAGAGTTAATACTAATATACCAACTGAATGCACAAAGCAAAAAGTGTCATATTGGAAGTTTTTGTTACTGCCCTAATTATATGAACTGTTACGGCCCTAATTATATGAACTGTCCACAGAACCGTAGAAGTTTAAATATTCATAAACAAAGGTAAGGCATTAGAAGACGTTAAAAATATTGGCATAATTTTCGATATTGGTCTGAATATATGTTATGATTTAAAACAGTACAACAGTGGGCGCCTGGGTGGCTCAGTCAGTTAAGCATCCAACGATTGGTTTTGGCTCAGGTCATGATCTCACGGATCATGGGTTTGGGCCTGCATCAGCCCTTTGTTGGCAGTGTGGGGCCTGCTTGGGATTCTCTCTCTCTCTCCTCCTTTCTCTTTGCCCCTCCCCTGCTCGCTTACTCTCTCAAAATAAAAATAAATAAATAAAATAATACAATACATTAGTCCAGAGAATAACACCATCATCCTGAAACCTGGGGAAGAAGAGGGACGGAAGCAAGCCTTGGGGGGAATCAGGTAGTAAGGGGGGATATGAAGCTTCTGTTTTAAAGTTTTGAAAGTGTTTTGTTGTTGTTTTTAAGTACTTTTTTTTTTTTTTTTAATTTTAAAAGTTTATTTTTGAAAGAGAGACAGAGACAGAGATGAGTGGGGAAGGGGCAGAGAGAGGGAGACACAGAATCCGAAGCAGGCTCCAGGCTCTGAGCTGTCAGCACAGAGCCTGACACGGGACTCAAACTCATTATCTGTGAGATCATGATCTGAGCTGAAGTCAGACACTCATTCCACTGAGCCACCCAGGTGTCCTTCTTCTATTTTTTTTTTTTTTTTTAAAGAAAGCAAATTTCCAGGGATTATTTAGTCTAAAGCAAAGATGAAATTTCTTTTCAATTTTAGAAACTTCAGAGGGACATAATTCATAGCATCTCACATGACAGCCAGCATCTTTGCCATTGATAAGTTTTTCTTCTTTAAAAAGTCACTCTTACATGTGTAAACATCTTCTATATGGACTAACATGGTATTTTCTTGGAGCTATCACTACTTTTATATGCACTGCCTACTGAAAAGGCAGAAACTGTAGCTCTTAAAATTTTCCAGCATTTTTATTACTGTGCATGTTCTTGTCTGATTCAGTGATTTCTGTCTTACACTGAGCCCTAAAGGAGACCTCTTAATTGCAGAGAGCAGCTTTATTCCCCTTGAGGATTCTCTGCCCCAACAGAGGAAGGGTCTATGTGACTGGGACAATGCGCTGGGTTCCTAGTTTTCACCAGATGCTGGAGACACATGTCTAGGACATTTGATGGAAGAAAGAAGAATTGATGAATCCTTAAGGAAGTAAATAAAATACTTGTTGGAAATTTATACCGCTTTGGTAACTTGGGCCACAAAAAGCCAAATCTATAAATTATGCAATTAATGCCCATGTGTTACATCATAATCTCATCTTGAATATAAATAAAATCTCCTAAAATTCTAAGGACTAAATTGTTAGGAAGGGAGTATCTTGTTCCCACATGGCCTCTACTCCAGCAACTACTCTTCATAAATTATGGTGCTCAGTCTTCCCCTCTGGCCTGCTAAGGTCTCTGGCTGCCTCTGTTCTGCTGGTCAACTCCTACAAAGTCTGTGATAACCATCTCTAGGAAGGACCAAGTCTACTAGACTTAGCTAAAAAGAGGTTCTTCCTTGAAAGAGTATCTTCGTTAAGTTATTGTTTCTTTGCTACCTGCTCTCTTATCAGTTTAATTCTTAATTTTTTCAATGTTTATTTATTTTTGAGAGAGGCAGACAGACAGAGCACAAGTGGGGAAGGGGCAGAGAGAGGGAGGGAGACACAGAATCCAAAGCAGGCTCCAGGCTCTGAGCTGTCAGCATAGAGCCCAATGCGGGTCTCAAACTCTCAAACCATGAGATCATGACCAGAGCCGAAGTCAGAAGCTTAACTGACTGAGCTACCCAGGCGCCCCTCATCAGTTTACTTCTTAAATAATGAAAGCGATATCTTAAATTTTCACATAACCCCACAAGGTAGACACTATCATTGTCTCCATCTTATAAATTTAAAAAATGAAGATACAAATCTTGTACAAGGTCAAGGGAGAGCCATGACTTAAAGGCAGACAGTCTGGCTCAAGTCTATGCTGTAGTCAACAATACCACTCAACTCTGCTCAAAAAAAGCGGTAGAGAGGCACCTGGGTGGCTCGGGCAGTTAAGTTTCCGACTTCAGCTCAGGCCATGATCTCTAAGTTTGTGAGTTCGAGCCCTGTGTTGGGCTCTGTGCTGATGGCTCAGAGCCTAGAGGCTGCTTTGGATTCTGTGTCTCCCTCTTTCTCTGCCCCTCCCCCCCACCGTAAAATAAATAAACATTAAAAGAAATTAAAAAAAAAGAAGTGGTAGTATCTCAACAAGGATGTAGCCAAGCATTCTTACCTGGTCAGTCTTGAGTCTCCTAGTGGATAATAGCACATTATCAGCTCACTCTGATTGAATCCCTAACTCCTCTATTCCAGTTCACTCCTTAGATTCCTTCTAAGGCTCTTTCCCAAACTTGCTTGATGATAAGAATCACCTGGAATACTTACTGTTAAAGGTGTAACTTCTCAGGATCTCAGAATCCACTGGGTCTGATGTAGTCCCATAAAATTGTATTTAAAAAATTTTTTTAATGTTTATTTATTTTTGGGAGAGAGAGAGAGAGAGAGCAGGAGAGGGGCAGAGAGAGAGGGAGACACAGAATCCGAAGCAGGCTTCAGGCTCTGAGCTGTCAGCACAGAGCCCGATGTGGGGCTCGAACTCAAAAACTATGAGATCATGACCTGAACACTTAACCAACTGAGCCACCCAGGTGCCCCAGAAAATTGTATTTTTAACAACTGACCCAGGTGATTCGTTTAAATCTTCTCAGCAGTCAAGTTTGGGAAAGAGTGCTCCAGGAGTTTTAGCCAATGGGAACAAACATTGTGATCTTAAGTATTATATATTACATGTTAAGTCAAAGTATTATTAAAGCAGATGACATTTCTATAGCTGAATTAATGTGAAGCAATCAGTACATATGGCACAAAGTAGTTTTCTTCAAGAAGAACTTGGGGAGGTGGTTGGAATGTCTTTGTTGCTTTTTCTTTTTTGGGTGATGACTGTTAGAAAGGCTTCTTTAATGGCTGTGCCCTTGAGGGAGTTTCTGCAATGCTCTGTTTATGAAACAGCTTAAATCAAACAGAAAGTAAGCCATTTGATAGAGTTAAGTTCTGCCTAAGAGAATTTGGAGGAGAGTAAATTACAAAAGAAGAGAAAGGAACACACGGTTGCAGTTCCTTGCAGGGCCTTACAGAGGCTCCTTGTGTCACTGGGAGAGAGACTCGGGCTTTTCAACCTAAATGTTTATGAATCATATACACATCGATTTAGGCGAATATCAAGGATTAATTCAATTCACACAGTCTGATCAGGAAGCAGAAGCAATCTTCAACACTTAAAGAATGCAAATGCAAAATTGTTGAAATTCATGATCATCATAACATATTATTTAATGTTAAAGAAAAAGCTCTCCAAAGTGCCAAATCTGCTTTGACACTATGTTCACTGCTGGTCACAAATGAAGAGTTTTCACCTCAGGCGCCACTCACACGCAGACTCCTCTGGTGCTACATTTATGAGTTAGTAGAGGGAAAAGAAGTAAGAAATCAGAAAATGATTTTAAAAGACAGTTAAAGGAGGAGAATTCTGCCCCGCGGGATGCTCTGCTTCCCCGGCCTGGCCTGCAGCCAACTCGAGCAGTGACTGAGGCGCAGACCCTACATACCTCTTGGTGGGGGTGGGCACCCCAGAGGACAGGTGGCTCACCATGGTGTCGTTCATGTTAGCCAGAGGACGAGGAGGACTGAAAGGAAAAACATTTACATTATATTACCAGTAGGGGAGACAAATGAAAAAGTGATAAGGGCAAAGGAAGCAACCATCATTGCTCCTGATGAGCACAGCGGGACCCACAGGGAGGAGGGCTGGAGATCGATAGGTGCAGCCCAAGCAAAGTCAAGAAGCTTTCTTTTACCCAAAGCCCAAGGACCCCAGGGCAATGCTGCACCAGGAGGAGCAGCCGGTTACACACCACAACAGGGATTAACTTCGCTGGCTTTTGTTCCATAGTTTCAGTGCACAAGAGTCTGAGTTCTGCTACTTAGTATCTTTGCACCTTAGGTGTTGCTAAGGTTACGAGGTATTTGACGTTTGTGGTATGTTATGAGGATCACAACGGCAACTTGTATGCTGTTCCTGATTTGGTTAAAGTTCACGGTCTTCTCTTGGATTTGAGTGGACAGACATGATGATGAGGGCAGCGGAAAGGATAAGGTTACCTGGGCGTACCTGAATCAGGAGAGAGCACAGTGCAAGCCTGAAGAGGAGAGTAAGACAAAGCAGGAAAAGAAACAAGGACAATGTGTCAAAGACGGTCCCATGATGGAAGAAGAGATGGGCAGGAAGGCAGCACAGCAGAGTTAAGAAACTGGCAGGCGGGCGGCGCAGAGGGAGGGCAGAAAAGAATGACGGGAAAAGCCCATCAAAATAGACCAAGATAAACACAGGACCAAGCTGTGAGGTGATGGGAAGACGCTGATGCCAGAAGATGCTATGGCTATGGGCAGGACACACGTTTGTCATTGGCATGAAAGGGAAGACCACAGATGAACAAGATGGATTTAGTTTGCATACTTTTGACCAAAACAGGCTGTTAAGTTCTAAATTCTTTTTTTTCTTTTTAATGTTTTGTTTCATTTCTGAGAGAAACGAAGAGAGAGAGAGAGGGAAAGCAGGGGAGGGTCAAAGAGAGAGGGAGACACAGAATCTGAAACAGGCTCCAGGCTCTGAGCTGGCTGTCAGCACAAAGCCAGACGAGGGGCTCGAACCCACGAACCGTGAGATCATGACCTGAGCTGAAGCTGGACGCTTAAGCGACTGAGCCACCCAGGCACCCCAGTACTAAATTCTTTTATTAATGCTTTACTATAATCTTAACAATCAATCCATATTTTATACTCATCCTCTAATTAGAATGCTTTTTTTTTTAAAGTAGGCTCTACACAGTGTGGATCCCAATATGAGACTTGAACTCACAACCCTGAGATCAAGACCTGAACTGAGATCAAGAGTCAGACACTTAACCAAATAGCCACCTGGACAACCCTAGAATGCTTTCTTTTATAACCTAATCCAAATTTAAATTTGAAGATAAGTACATTTGATAAATCGTCTGTAGTGCTAGTTTTCTGGACTCAAGGTATATTGCTCCTTCTCAAGAAAGTCTTAAAAGAATGAATCCAAACTTACCAAAAGTTTGCTCTTCTCCCTCCCAACCAAGTTCAGCTACAAAGGGTTACGGTCTTGCACTAGAACCACATGACTATTACTAAATATTACTCCTGGGAAATCTCTCACTTCCTTTCCTAAACTAAAAGAAGTCGTTTTCAGAAAAATTTGTCCATCAAAGCCAAAAGAGAAGCAGAAAAGTCCTTCTTTCATATTTAGGTGCTTGGGAGCTAGCTCCTGGTTTCTCCTTATATTTAAGTGCCGAGTTAATTATGTAAAGTGCTTTTGTAAAGGTTATACTTGGCAAATCTTGGTGAATACTAAAGGATCAGAGCCACGGCTTTGCAGGTTTTATAATACACTCAGAAACACAAGGGAAAATTTTCAGGTAAAGCCAAAGACTACCTACCTATCTATCTCTATACCTATTTATTTATACACTCCTCTTTTTTTTTTTTTAACCAATTTTATTTCTGGGTAGGGAAATACGTTTTTTGAGAGGGAGAGAGTGAGAGAAAGCACATGGAGTGGGGGCAGAGGGGGGAGAGAGAATCCCAGCCAGGCCCCATGCTGTCAGCGCAGAGCCCAATGTACAGCTTGATCCCACAAACTGTGAGATCATGACCTGAGCCAAAATCAAGAGTCAGACACTCAACCGGCTGAGCCACCCAGGTGCCCTGGGAAATATTTTTAATGGTCTTCCATTTAACGAAGAGGATCAAAGATGGAAAGTAATTTGCAGGGAACAAATTTAGGTCTCTTGACTTTTAAGCCACAGTACCATGTTTATTTGTTACATGTTCCTCCCTTTATCTGACAAGTTGCAAAGTAAGACATTCAGAATTGAAATATGCTTTTCTAGACTAGAATTTAATAACACATTACATATCTCCCCACCCATCTTCCAGGCAGATATCCAATACTGTGCCCCAAACTTGCAAGCCTCTTAATGCCAGTGGCTGTACTGAGTTATAATCAATCAATAAATCAATTGTTTTAGGCTGACTAATAATAAAAATGAACACACAGAGATTAACTTAATTTTAGTCCTAAAGGACTAAATGTCCAAATGGACCAAGGAGGCAATTCCTATGAGAGAAACAAATCCAGCATCACAGCTTTTCATCCTTGGGGGCACCAGAAACATTCTGGTCCTGAAAACAGAATGGGCTTTGCTCCTTTAATATATTATTATTAGTGACCCATTTTCCCAAATAAGATAAGGACATGTTCATGCTTTCAGAACTAATACAGTTACCTAGTATTTTTCAATATTGAAGATACTACTGCATTCAATTTCCTTTCTCACATTCTCAGAGGAAAAAGGACAATAGAAAAAAATTATTTTAATTTCTTACACATGGATCCATGTGATAAAATTTCATGATTTGTAGTATATTGTTTGGTCTGATGCCTCAAGAGTTAACAATCATCTCATCTCTTGGCAGATATCACACTCAATTATTATCTTTTTTTCAAATGTTTATTTATTTTGACACAGAGAGAGAGTGCAAATGGGAGAGGGATGGAGAGAGGGCGAGAGAGAATTCCAAATAGGGCTTGATCCCACAAACTGTGAGCCAAAATCAAGAGTCAAAACTCAACAAACTGAGCCCCATGCTTAATTATTATCTTTTAGCACACATAGTAAAGCCTCTTCTCTAATAGTCAGAACCAGACAGTATGACTACATTGTAAGTTGGAAGCTAATCATAACTCCCCCCAAAACTTCATATCCTTTGTGAAATTCTAGCACATTTTCCCAGAGAAATGTGTTTAGAGTCCAAGTTGAAAGAGGAATTTGAAAACATAAAGGGGGGGGGGGGTCTTTACTTAGGATCTCCCACTAGACCCACAATTCACTGTGAAAACCAACAATTCAGATATGGTCTTCGGGGTATATGTAACACACCAAAAATGACTTCTGGCTTAAAATTTTTTTCATAGTTCCTGGAGAACACAGCTGAAAAAAAAAAAACAAACACTTCCAGGTGTGAAGTAGACATTACTGGTACCAGTTTCAGAAACTTACAAAGTGGAACTGACACAACTCATCAGATCAGCTTTGTTGGTCTTCTTCACCATGCAGAACCCTGGTGAATACCTTGAACATGTCACCAGATGTTCTGTATCTTCCTTTGGTGAAGAGCTCAACAAGGCATCCTTAGACGCTTATGAGTTCCCTGATAAACAAATGACCACCAACCATCTCTTGGTACAAATTTGGGAGGTTCCTTCCTTGTTCATAAGACATGGCCAATCTTTTGAGGAGGAGATAGAAACAGATGGATGATACAGAGAGAAGGCAATCTGCTAGGCAGAAGTGGTAGATCTTGGAGAGAATTTTAAAAATTTGAATCAAAAAGAAAGAAGCATTCTTCCTGGGTTAAGTAAGACTATCTTCATCTCAATAACCAAATTATATATTGACAAAGACAGGTATGTAAACAGATCATCACACAATGCAAAGTAGTGAAAGCAGCAACAAGTACAGACCAGAAGTTGAGGAGTCAAATGAAAAGCAGTTACTCCTGCATGGAGGAATGAGAGGCAACAGTAGTGAGGGTGAAGTAACACTGAGAAGTTTCTCAGATACAGGAAAAAAAAAAGTTAAGGGCACCCTAGATGGATGAAATGGTATGGAAAAAGGCACAGAAACCCAAAAGTACATGGCATATTTGGGTTTGACTTATTTGGCTGGACTCAAAGGCACTTGAAGGGAGAGAGGGTAGCTGAAAATGGCTCTGGAGAAGTAGATTAGGGCCAGGATGTTAATGAAGCCTGTTCCACCACAAGCTAAGAAGTTTGGAGTTTATACTATAGGCAATGGGGGAAGCATGGAAAGCTTTTATGCCAAAGGATGATATATCTATAGATGAGCTTTGAAAAGATGACCCAATGGGGCACCTGGATGGCTCAGTGGGTTAAGCATCCAACTTCAGCTCAGGTCATGATCTCATGGTTCGTGGGTTTGAGCCCCGTGTCGGGCTCTGGGCTGACTGCCAGCTCAGAGCCTGGAGCCTGTTTCGGATTCTGTGTCTCCCTCTCTCTCTGGCCCTCCCCAACTCACACTGTCTCTCTCTTTCAGAAATAAATAAATAAAACATTAAAAAAAAAAAAAAAAAGATGGCGGATCAGCACGGAAATCCAGAGCTTGTCTCGTCCCTGAAATGGAGCTAGATCAGCACCAAAACATTTCACACACTTAGAAAATTGATCTCAGGATTAATACAACAATCTGTATACCTTGAGCCACAGAACTGGGTAGGTAACCAGTGCGAAGAGGTGAACTGGGAGAAAAGCCAATGAAGGTAGGGAACTGTTTTTGCAGAGAGAGGACAGAGAAAGGGGAAGACTGTGGTGCACTGGGAGAGTGCAAGAAAAACACTCCCCCAAAAGAGAGAAAGAGAGAGAGTAAAAACACTTGCAGGAGACTGAACAAGAAATTTGTTCCCCACAACCACTGACAGGAAGAAAGGAGAGGGTTTCCATAGCACCAGGATTCTATCTATAGTGGAGCATGGACTCTGAGGCTCTGGAGCTGAGTGCTTGGCAGGGTTGTGGTGGGGAACCGGG